TTTAAAAAAAAAAAAAAAAAAAAAAAAAAAAAAGCTTTAGTGTAAAATTTAATTTCCTTAAATTTTATTTGTAGTTGTTAGTGTTGCTAGAATTTTTAATATTTAATCTACACAATTATTTATCTTCGAAAAATACAAAAAAAAAATTGTTTCATCAATGAAATAAAAAGGTTTATATTTAAGACAATTTTTTAATCACAAAAAAAAAAAAAATCAAATTGCATGTCAATTTAAAAAAAAAAAAAAAAATATAGATTTACATTTTTTACACATACAATTTTTTTTTAACCATTAAAAAAAATATATATATATATATATTTATACATATAAATATATATATTTTATTTTTTGTAAATTGATTAAGCAAAATATAAATTATAAAATGTATCATTATGATTATAATAAAAGTAAATTATGTATTTTTTAACTCTTTATTTTTATTTTTTTTATAGGAACATTTAAATATTGTCTTTATTATATTTATTTAGACTTTTAAAGTACGCATATTATCATTTTTTTTTTTTTTTTATTTTCATTTATTTTTTCTCCTTTATATTTTTTGTATATAAATCAATATCATTTTTAAGATCTACATAATCATATTTATTATAACGTTAGTAAAAAAAAAAAAAAAAAAAAAAAAGAAAGAAAAAATTGTATTTAATATGAGTTCATATTTACCTTTTGAAAAGTGAAAATGGTTTTTAAAATACATTTCTAAAAAATTAAAAAACAAAAAATATATTTTAGTTTCATTATATCAGATTATCATTCATGTAAATTTTCATTTTAATTTAAAATTTTTCATCTTAATTTTCATTCTTTTATTTTATTTTTCTTTTTAATTTTCCTTAAAATTCTCATTTTTTTTTTCTTATAATATATTTTTTTTTTTCTTAAATAAAAAATAATGGGATCCATGTTTTTTGAGGAAACTCATTTTAATAATTTTAAATTAGATATCCAAACAAATCTTAATTTTAAAGAAAACTTGGGAAATTTAAAAGAAATGAATTCCTACTCAACCAATTATAGTACACCTTCATCAAATATAGATACATTATATTATTCAAAAAATTTAAATGAAAATAATTTACTTTTTTTAAATGACAATGAAGACAATAATTTAAAAATGAATGAAAATTACGTTGTTAATAATTACGATTTAAAAAATGAAAAGCTAGCAGAATTTATCTTGAATAATAATGAAATGGATGAAGAAAAAAAAGTTGAAGTAGATCTAAACAAAGTTATGAATGACATTTTCTTTTTATGCTTTCATAAAAATGGTTGCGAATATATAATAAAAAAATTAAAAGAAAATGATAATGAGCAAAGACAAATAATACTAAAATCTCTTTTAATTGATGCACGATCATTATGTCCTGATGTTTATGGGAGTTATGTAGCTCAAACGATATTTGATTTGAAAGATGAAAAATATAAAGAACGTTTTACTGATGAATTTTTGAGCTACACTAGTTTTCTTACATTACACACATATGGTTGTAGGCTTATTCAGAAATCATTGGAATCCTTATCTGATGAATACAAATGTAAAATTTTTAAAGAATTAGAAGATGATTTAATTACATACATATGTCATCAAAATGGGAATCACGTTATTCAGAAATGTGTTGAAGTTTTACCATCTAACTATATTGATATAATCATAGATATTATTGAGGAATATTTGCCATTTTTAAGTTCTCATGCTTACGGATGCAGAATTGTTCAAAGAATTTATGAAATTGGGAATGAAAATCAAATTAATAGATTAAATGAAAAAATTATAAAAAAGATTCACTTAATCAAAAATAGATACGGCAATTATGTTATTCAAAAATGTTTCGAATATTCAGATGATACAGTCAGATTTATTATTACTGATGCAATTGTTAATGATATTTATAAGCTGTCTGCTCATAAATATGCTTGGTAACAAAAAAAAAAAAAAAAAAAAAAAAAAAAAAGGAAGTAATGAATAAATAAATTAGTTAAAAAGTAAAAAGATATTATTAATTCATAAATTAACATATTCTATATTTTATTAAAAGACAATTTATTTTTATATTTATAATGTTCTTCATACTAAAATTTATGAATATATCCTTTATAAACTTATGCATATACAATTATTAAGTTTTTACATATTTTTATAATGGATTTTAAATTAACAAATATCTATTTTTATATTATTTATTATTTTATTTTTTTTTTTTTTAGCAATATAATTGAAAAAATATTATTGAAAAAAGAGTATAAATATAAAAAAAAAATTATCAAAAAAATTATCAATGATATTTCTGAAGGGTAATAAGATTTTATGATATGCTTAGGATTTACTAACTTTAATTTTTTTTTTTTTTTTTTTTTATGTATATAAATATTTTTTTTTTTTAGTATGTCTTATAGCTAAATTTTTTATATCAAGGAAATATTATTTTATTTATTTTTATTAGGAACGAAAATATTATAAATATTTGCAAAGATTGTTATGGAAACTTTATGATGCAAAAATTATTAACAACTTGCAGAAAAAAAGAAAGAAATTTAATAGTAAAAACAATTGTTGGAAATTTAGACAAATTAAAGAATGAAACTTATGGTAACAATATATATAATCTTATTTTATTAACATGCAAATTTTTGTCTTCAATAATTTTTTTTTTTCATTTTCTAATATAGGTAAATATATTTTAAGAGCTATCAACAATTTAGATTCATAATATTTTGTTAATAAAAATATTATTTGTAAATTAAAATTTATGAGATTAACATTGGACGTAATTTTTTAGTTTTATGTAAGTATATATATATATATATATATATGTATTTTTTTTTATTTTTTCTTTACACTTTTTTTTTAATTTTTTTTCATTTTTGTATTTTTTAGTTATTTTTTCAAGTAGCTTGTTTTCTTTCTTTTTTTTTTTTTTTTTTGTTTTTCTTTTTTTCCAAATGAAAGTTTTTTCTTTAATAATGTTCTCATTTTTTTTTTTTATTTCTTAAATAAATTTTAATTTTTATGATTAAGCTTTTTTTTTTTAATTTCACAAATTCCTAATTTCTTTTTTTTTCCTTATTCAATTTTTAAATGAAATAGCTAAAAATATATCAAAAGAATTATTTGCATGTTATTTATATAATTTAACTAATTATCAAATAACAAATGAATTTTAGTATAGATGAGACATTTTGAATTATTTTATTATACATGTTTATATAAAATAAATAAGACTATAATAGGATAAAAAAATGTTTTAATATTATTTATTCTTATTATCATTTTGAAATAAAAATGTAATATATGTTTACAAAAGTACTTACACTTTATATGAATATATAAATGATTTGTTATTTTTTTAAACCGCACTTTGATAAAATATATCAATGACATTTTAGTATATGTAAAAACACTTAGTTTATATTTAATAGAAATAAAAACTTTATTAAATAAAAAAACATATTTTATGAGGAAATATAAATAAAAAAAAAATATGTGTAGATATATGAAAATGATAAATTTGAATAAAAGTAAATGTATCATTAGTTTTACTTTGTTTTATCTATTTTGTTTCATTTCTTCCATTTTATTTTATTTTACTTTTTGTAATAATATATTTATATAAAATAGTAATTAAAGAAAAAAATAAAAATTATTCTACTGATTCATCACAAAAATTATCTGAAGCTTGCTTCTTACATACACACGTAAAATAATGAAAATAATAATAAGGATCATCGTCGGAATATGAAGATCGTAAATTATCTTTACCTAAAATTTCAGCAAGAATATCTTTAAATCTTTTACCACTGAAAAATTTCTTTTCATCAATAAACATGGGAACACACATTTCATAAGAATTAGGACATGATGTTTCTCTACAACTTACAAATGGCCTTGGAGTTATAATCCATTCCGAATCATTTTCTAACAAATTAATTTTATCTATGAAAGATACAATATAAAAAAAAAAAAAAAAAAAAAATGTTATAAAGTTGATTGTATCTTCTTTTATTAATCTCTTTTTACTTCAATATATATATGTATGTATTATTATTAATTTTTATGTAAATTGTAACCTTTAAAATATTTACCTGCAATGGGATTTTTGAAAGGTAAATTTAGGCTTGATTCATCTTTTGCAAGAAGATCTTCTATTTCACCTAAATGTTCTTTAGATAATTCTAAAAACGTAGTACTTTTTGATAGTTTGTTAAATTTTCTATTCTCCACTTTATATATTTTGAAATCATCCTTTTTGTTTTTTGTAAGGTGATTATTGAAAAATACTTTATGTCTTTCGGTTTGTTTATAATTATTTAATGTATTATGTAATAATAAATTATTTAACATTATATTCCCTTTTTTATTATCTACAAAAAAATATGTTTTCCTTTTCTTCAGTACATTTGAATTTTCCTTATTATTCTTTAATATATGAGACATTTTTATTTTCTCTTTTAATCTTAAAAAAAAGGGATTAAATATTTGTTTACTAGCTAACATAAAATGAGATAAGTTCTTTATATTTTGAAATTTTTTTTCATAATTAGGTTTATGTTTTATTTTTTTAATGTTCGTTAATTTACTTTCCTTATATGAACCTATAAATTTCATAATAGTTAAGAATATAATCAATTATATTATGAATGTATGTATTTTTTTTTATTAAATATATAAAGAAAATATTTTATTTAAAAATTATTTCTGGGTATTTTTACTTTTTATTAAATTATTATTTCAATTAATGAAGAGAAAATTTGTCTTTTTTTTTAAATACTTACATTTATTCCCCCTTTTAAATAGAGGATAATTTATATCTTTACTATTTTCTTCTAAGTTTTTTTTTAAATTTTTCGAATTACATTTATATTCTATCAATAAAAATGGATTATTTCCTATATTTGTTTTTCCTTCTTTTTTATGTTTAATCATATTATAAAAAAGAATTGATGGTACACTACATTCATTAAATCCATTGCAACATTCACTTATCTTATTTGTTGTATCAAGAATATCATCTTTATAATATGTATTTTCACTTATGTAATAAGCTGATAGAATATTTATACTAGTTCTATTGCATGTTAATAAAATATTTTCATCTTTATTGAAAAAACTTTTAATAATTATTTTATCATTATTATCATCATTATTTCTTTTCTTAGTTTCACATACAGTTGATATATATAAAAGAGGAATTTCATTATTTGAGCAAATATCATTACCATTATTCTTTGGAGAAACAATTAAACTTATTTCTTCATTTGCAGTTTTTTTATCTATATCAGAAAACAAAATATAACCATAATTATTAATGAGTTCTTCTACAGTCTTTTTTTCTATTTGGTTGTTTTCGTTAATTTTTGCTCTTGTAAACATATTATTTTTTTTGCATAAGTATTCTAGCTGAACAATTTTTGTGGAATAAAATTTTTGGTTGCATTGCGAATAAAAAAAATCACCAATGCGTAAAAATTGTTTATCATAAAATTTTCTTAAAGAATTTTGTTCATCAATAAATCCTTTTTTTTTATCAGGAATATTACTCAATGAAGAAAAATAATTTAATTCATTGTAATTTTCTTTTTTTTGCTCTTCTTCATCTTTGTAATTTTTTCCTAAATATATATATTCTTTTGGATTATCACTGCTTTTGGTATTATCGATTATATGAATGTTACAACTTACTACTTTTATATAAAATTGTTTATTATCATTTAAAAAAAAAGAAAATAACTCGAAAAATAGGAAAAGCGAAATATAAGAAAAATTTATCATTTTTACAAAACTAAAAAAAACTATTGAAAAAAAATTTAGCTAGAAAATAAATATATATATATCTTAACTAGGAATCAGAATTTTATATTTTTGGCTTATGAGAAAAAAATATAGAATAAAATGATATACGAAAGAATGAAAAAAAAAAATAAATACAAGAACAACATTAACCTATATACAGATATACTCTTAAAATATTATGCGATACAAATATCCCATTTAAGATAAAATCAAGTATTAAAAAACAATTAAACGAAATGTGTAGATTATAAATATTAAAATTTATGACATTTTTTTTTTATTTTTTTACGTGTCTAAATTTTTTTTTTTTTTTCCTGACTAGTTCAGATTGATTTTTTCAGTACAGTTGAAATGAAGAAGTAAAAATAATTCTTAGTATTTTATTTTAATTTTAGTATTTTTATATTTATTTTATTTAGTATAAAATTAAGTGAAAAGTTATATTTTCAAAAAAGTTACAAGTTACTCATATAATCTTAATAAAAATTCTAATGAAGCAACATAATAGAATCAAAAATATATTCATATAAATATAAAATACATGTGAAATACAGCTAATATAGATGGCGTCATGACTTACGTATAGATTTTTAATAAATGAATTATATATTAAATATTTATTTATTTTAAAAGCTTATTTTTATTTTTAATAAGTAATCATTTTAAAAAAATAAAATTATTAAATAAAAATATGTATTTATTTTAGAGAAATCAAGTTGTAAAACGGTAATATTATTTTTGTAAAATAATTTGTAATTTTCCTTTACTTTCCATATAAAAATTATATATGAAAAAATGACTTAAGGAATTATATATAATAATATCAATTTTAAAAAGAAAATATATTTAATAAAAAAAAAAAAATATATATATATATATAGATAGATAAATATATAAAGATTTTGAAATATTATATTTATAAATTTTTAATAACAACCATTTTCATTTTGATAAAAGAAATATATATAAAAATTTTTAATAAGAATAATTTTTTATGATAAAAAACTGAGTTTGATATTATTATTTAGACAAATCGCGATAAAACATATTTTTCTATGATTTATACATTTTATTTTATATTATTTTGTTATTTTCATAATTTAAATTATTATACATTTTCAATCAAAATAACATATCGATGGAAATTTTAAAGAGACAGTAGAGTAAATTTTATATAATTAAAAAAAATACGTATATATTTTATGAACTTACGGTGAATCAAATAAATATTTCTCTTTTATAATAAATTAATTTTTTTTAAGTATTCTTATGGAATACATATGCATTCTTTTAAGTGTTTCTATAAAAGAATCTACTGAAAATTCATTTTTGGTAAAATAAAGTTTTAAATATCTATGAACCAAAATATATATATATATATATATATATTATATAAACTTCTATAAAAATTTTTATTATTGATATAATTGTTTAAAAACAGAGAATTTAGGATAATTTTTTTCATAGATGATATATTTATTAACTTCCTACTTTTATAAATATATATTTAAGAAACATTTAATTACTTTCTTATTTCTTTCACATAACTTTATTATAATATTATTAATGAAAAAAATAAAAGTTCCCTTATTTTTTTATATTTTTATAATACAATTAAATTTAATAAAAAGAACATTTTATTTTTTCACATCTAAAAATATATCTAAAGTTTTTTCCTTAAAATCATTTAAATTTCATTTTTTTTTTTTTATTAGTATTGAAAAAAAAAAAATGAAATTTAATTATTTTAATAGTTGTGCTATTTTTATTATTTTTGATTTTACAATGAATCAAATTTTTTTATACTAAAAAAAGACAAAATAATATGAAAAATTACTCCAAGAGGAATTATAAAAATGTAAAATAACTGATATGACTCTTTGTCAAAGTATTTTTAATTCGGTTATAAGTTTTCCTTTTCTCTTATTCATATTTATATAATTGTTTTATCCCAATATATATTCTTATTAAATTAATGAAAATATTTTTTTTATTTTTAGGAGTGTTATCATCTATATATGTGTTGATATTTGTTTTCTTATATATTTTTACATAATTATTTTTATCATCTATTGTTAAATGTTGTATGTATATTTAATCTTTAAGTTTTTTTTTTTTACTTTTTTTTCTTTTAATATGATTTTTATTGTTTTTTTAGTCCTTTTTTTTTTTTTTTCATTTAACAAAAAAGAAAATATAATTTTTATAATTATTCAACTTTTTGTAAAGGTTAAAAATTTTTAATATATATTTCATTTAACTTTTATAACTTAAAAATTATTTAAATATAATATATGCATTAATCTTAAAAAAAAAAAAACAAAATTATAATGAAAAAAGGATTTTTTAATTTTTTTAATATATTTATACTTTTTTAATATAATTTCTTCAGTTTTTTCTTTTTTCTTTTTTTAATTTGTTACTATTAATGTAATTTGTTTATATTTTTTTGTAATCCATGTTTATAAATATATTATAGAACATCTATATGCATAGACATATGTTTTGATCATTTAATATGAATTTTTAAGTTAGATTGTTAAAATGAAATGAAAACATTTAAATTGAAAAAAAAAAAATAAAAAAGAGTTAAATGAGATTATGTCGTCTTAAAAAATAGTTAATTATGTTGTTATAAAAATTATGTACTAAAATTTTTAGTAACAATAAAAGTTTTATGTTATGATAATTTTATTAAAATGGAAGAAAAATTGAATTTATATATTTATCCTCTTAATAGATTAAAAATTTATAATGAGCCAAATAAAATTGAAGTAACTTTAAAGAGATTAGATTTCTATAATGACAAAAAAAATAAGGAAAATGAATTATACGATTTTAGATGTAAAAAAGTAGAGAATCCTCATATGATATACGACTCTCTTAATTCTAACATTTTATATGAGATAAAAAATTTTCATGCCACAGATAGGATTTATGATATAGCGAGAAGAAATGAAAAGAAAAATGATGAAGATGAAGAAGAAAAAGAAGGTGAAGAAGAAAAAGAAGATGAAGAAGATGAAGAAGAAAAAGAAGAAAAAGAAGATGAAGAAGAAAAAGAAGAAAAAGAAGATGAAGAGGATGAAGAAGAAAAAGAAGATGAAGAGGATGAAGAAGAAAAAGAAGATGAATATATAACTGATCAAAAATTTAATAAAAAAGAATATAGTCATTATGATGAAAATAATAAAAATAATAATGAATATGATGATTATAATTTTTCAGATAATAAAAATAATAATTTAAATTATAATAATAATCTTTATAACTCTAATATATATGACAACAAAACTGTAAGTATTAAAAATGATGGTTTAGAAATATTAACATATAATAATAAAAAGACTAATTATTATAATGGAGAAAAAAATAAACAAAATTTACAAAAATTAAATAATAATAATAATAATGAAAATTGTGTTTTACACGAAAAATATGTAGAAAAGGAAAGCTATAATTTATATAAAAAAAAAAAAAAAATGGCAAATAAAAGTTGTATAGATTTTTTACATAACTCATATGTCTATGAAAAAGGTATAAGAGATGATCATATTAGAATAAATGCTCCATGTGATGTTATTAACACTTTAGCTACTTTTTATATTGATAAAAAAATGAATATAAATAAAAAATATTCTTATGACTTAAATTTTAATTTAAAATCACCAGTTTTAGTATTTCCTACAGGTTTTTATAATAATGAGATAAAATTTTTAGAAGTGGGACTACAAGACTTTATTTATGATGATAATTATGTTTATAATAGTATGCCTAATTATGATTATAATAGTATGCCTAATTATGATTATAATGATAATATAAATTTAAATTATAGTTACTTACCATCTAATATAAAATTTGAATTTAATAATGAAATTAATATAGTTCCTACTAATTTATCAGTTGGAAATTGTGATATTTCTAGTATGACACAATTACCAGCTTTTTGTGATTTTTCAGATAGAGTAAAAATAGCTCACGAATACAATAAAAAATACATATATAAAAATTTTTATGAACAAAAAAATAATCTACTATTATATAAATTAAGTAGAAATGTAACAGAAGCGAAACATATAGGTTCTATTTCAATGAATAAATTTTTTAAAATAAAAGAAATAAAAGTAGATAACAATAATATAAATGAAACAGTTGTTTATTCAAGAAATGATGTTGGGTTGTTTATTTGTTATGTTCAATATAAAAAGAATGATATCATTGATAATTTATATGATGATATTATTTTTAAAAAAAGAAAAAATATAATTATTAATAAAAGAGATAATGAAAAAAAAAAAATAATAGGAAATAGAAGGAAAGAAGTAGATACAATGTATAATGAAGTTGATGTGAATGAAGTTAATGTGAATGAAGATGATGTGATTGAAGATGATTTTTTTAACATTTTTGATTATAAAATTAAAATAACAAAGGATATTTTATTATTTGATAGATTATTTCAAATTTGTCCCAGTTCTTATACTTTTGGGAAATGTTATTTTTTAGGGAATCATAATAGTTTATATTCATATGATTTGGGATTAAATTTAATTGAAATAATTGATTTAAATAAAAAAGGAAAATTTTTTAAACAACATGACACTTCTTTATGTTTGTGTTTTTTACAAGATGATAATAGTATTTTATTAGGTTGTAGAAATTTATATATATTTGATAAAAGAGAAAATAAGTTAACAAAATTTAATACTAATAATACAGGGATAAAAAAAATAACTAGAAGAAGAATTGCTAGAAATTCTTGTGAAGAATTTTTAGATGATTTATCAGAAAGAAATATTAATCAAAATAATTTATATCAAGAAAATGTTACACGTTGCCACTTTAATAGAGGATATACCGCTTTAGAAAAAAATCCAGATTTTCCTTTTATAATTGCATCTGTTAATGCTTCCTTTAATGTTATAGAAATATGGGATACAAGAAATCAATATGAGCCATTATTTATATTTCCTTTGAATATTTCAGAATTTTCTTACACTTATTTTAGATATATTGAATGGATTAGAATAAATCCAAATGGTAATAATTATGATAAAAGGAATAATTATAACTTAATGACTTTCTCTTATTATGAACATCTAGTATATGTTAGAAAAATTCTCATATATGATAATTTTACAAGTTATAAAGATTTAGGATTTCAAACTTACACCAATAATTTTTCTAATTATTTATATAATTATAATTTAAAAGATAAATATTTAGAAAATTCTAATTTAAATAAGGAAAATGCATATATATCTAGAGATAATTGCAAGATTGAAAATTTGTTTAATTCAGAAAAATATATTAGTGAAGAAATTACAAAAAACGAAGAAAATATTAAGAAAAAAAATAATATGAAGGAAAATCAGTATATCAAAGAAAAAAATAATATTACAGAAAAATGTAATGATTATGTAGAAAATAATACGAAAAAAAATTTAGAGGATGAAAAATTATTGGCAAACGAAATTAAGAAAAGGAATGATATTCATTTTAATCATATTTTTAGTTATAGAAATATAAAAATGCATATAGAAGATTCTATTATATTAGATATTTCTAAATTTACTACTCTTCAGAAAAATAAAATGAATTCTATACAAATGTATAATGATGAGAGAAAGTATAATTCTATAAATACAAATATGTATAATATTTTTTTCGGATTATATGGTATGAAGTTCATTGAATTTACCATCCCAACATTTTACTGTCGCAAAAAAAAAAATACATTAAAAGATGAAAATGAAAAATTTTTAGAAAAACATTATTATTTTGATGAAAAAAAAACCAAAGTTTATGAATATTTTATAAAAAGGAATAAAAATGGAGAAAAAAACAAAAGACAAGAAATAGAAGGAATTAAATTAGATTTTATTCAATTTGTTTTTCATATAAATTCATCTGGGCAAATATTTTGTGTACCTCTTAATTTGTGTATAAAAAAATTAAGTAAAGAAAAATTAGAAGAATGGATTCCAATAAATAAATTTTATATTGTAAACACATATACAAATGAAAATGTTACTAATTTATCAAAAAATTTTATTGATATTATTGATAATAATAAAGTAGAAAATGATTCTCTTCTTCATAAAAAAAAGGAAAAATCTTCTTTTAAAGATTCTTTTGTACATTTGAATGAAAGCTCAATTTTAAAGAAAGAAATAGATTTTGATAATTTTTTGAAAAATAGTTGTGATTATAACTATGAAAATACTTATGAAAAAGGATTAGATAATTTAAATTGTAAAATAGAATTAGAATCAAATATTGTCGAAAATAGTGAAGAATCTAATAGTAAAAATAAGGAAGAAAATGATTATTTAAATAAAAATTTGATAAGTAACCAAAAAAAAAATATTTCCAATATTATGAAAAATGAAAACTTTAATTTAACTAAACAAAATTGTGATATATTAAAAGAATTTTATTCTAAATATTCAAATGTAACTAATGAATTTTTATCTGAGATATTTAAATTAGTTTCTAAAGACAAAATTCTTATACTACAAAAAAATAGTAATGCTATAAAAATATTTACTTATAATAATTTTGAATCAACTCAAAAATTTTATCAAAAAATTAAAAGATTTATTGTAGAATCATTTTTATCCAACACGAATAATAATATATGTGCAAATATAACAAATAAAAATGATAAAAAAGATGATTTTTTTTGTATTCCTTGTAATTATAATGACAATAATAATACTGAATTAAATTCTTTTTTATGTAATGAAAATAATATATATAATAAAAATGATTCAAATTTGTTAATTTCTCCAATTAATACTAACATAATGACTGATAAATTAATCAAATATAATGAACATAGTGATCTCAAAACTAAAATTGCACCTTTAAAGTCATCTGAAAATATTATTCAATCAGTTTATAACAATGATATAGAATTAAACGATAATAACAATATCTTAAATAAAAAAGAAATAAATTTAATTAGTAAAAATATTAGTATAAATAAACAAGATTTAAATTTAGATAATAATAATAATAATAATAATAATAATATAAATAACGATAATAATAATAATAATATAAATAACGATAATAATAATAATAATATAAATAACGATAATAATAATAATAATATAAATAACGATAATAATAATAATAATATAAATAACGATAATAATAATAATAATAATAATAATAATAATAATAATAATTGTAGAGAAAAATTTTTATCAGATGTGATTATTAAAATTATGAAAGAAATGTATTTACATAAAAACACAAAAAAAAAAGAAAATTATGTTTATAATAAGAAATTTTCATCTATAACACATGGGAAAGAAACTATATGTTCAAAATTTAATTTATTTGAATTATTTTCACAGAATAATATTAAAAAAAAGTATAAGAATGAAATAATTGAAACACATTTTGTTCAGAATTTGAGTTACTTAAATTTAAATGATTTTAAAAAATTTTTATTAAACGAATCAAAATATGCTTTCTGTTCTTTTCATTTAAGTAATTTTTTTTATATACAAACATTAGCTAATCTGAAGCATTCAGCATATAATTTAACAGAAGAAATGATACACAAATATATAAATGACAGTTATCCTTTTGCAACCTATTCATCTAATTTTCAATCATTTAAAATTTTAAAAAAAAATCAATCAAAAAACCATATAATTTTTTATAATAAATCTCTTAGTTTTTATAAGTTTTTGATGGAACAACTAAAAGAAAAAAACTGTTTTCATAAATATCAGGTAAATAATTCTGAGAAAAAATGTATAGAAAAAATAACTGAATGCTCTTATAAAAATTATCTTAAAGAAATAAAATTTTCAAATGCTCAAAAAAATAGTAAACAAGATACAAAAAAAGAACATGATAATGAAATCAAAGAGAATTATAACAATGTATTTGAAAATGATGTAGAAATTTTAGATGGAAATAATAGTTATAATGACAATGTAGATGAGTTTAATAATTTAAAAAAAGAAATTTCATTACATAAGGAAAGTGAATGTGTAATTAATAAAAATAATAAATTTTATAATGATTTAAACAAAGAATCAAATGAAGATAAAATAATTAGTTATTATAGTGATGATCAGAAGTGTTTCTTGATCGAAAATGAAAAAAAAAAAAAAAAAAAATATAGTTTACTAATTTTAAAGAATGCATTTAATATAAAAGAACTGTTTGAAGTTTATAATGAAGATGGATTTAATTACATTTTGACAATTATGAAAAAAATTCAAAAATCAAAAAAAAAGTTTTCATTTAATAAAAGATTAAAGAAATATTTTAATAATATATCAAAAGAACTGAGTAAATGTGTGCCTGTTAAGAATTTTTTCTTTTATGATACACCTGCTTGTTTTTGTCTTTTTAATAATGATTTTAATAATAAAAGTCAATATAATACATATTTAAATTCTTATGAATTCCTTTTAAATATTGTAACATTTTTTAATAACAATGATTCAATTGAAAATACAATTAAAAAATTATATAATTATGAACATATAAATTTTTTACATAACAAAAAAAATAAAGAATTCCTTGAAAATAATAAAGACAATAATTTTTTTGGAAATATTGATAATGATGAAAAAAAAAGAAAAAACGAGAAGAAAAAAAAAAAAAAAAGCCCTTTATTTATTAATAAAATAAATGTTAATTCAAAGAAAGAGGATATAGAAGATTTATTTTTTAAATTAAGAGAAAATAATAATTGTGTATCATTTAGTTATGATAATGTTTTACATAAGTTTAAAAAAAAAAAATTAATTTTTTTAAGTAAAGATATTACTTACTATATTTTTCAAAATATTTTACAAAATGAATATTTTATACCAATACCTAAATATATGAAAAATAAAATAAAAATAAATGAAGAAGATTTTCATTGTTCTTTTATTACATGTTTTAAAAATCATTCAGTTGGATTTTATAATAAGAAATTATTTAATGTTTATAATAGTATTAATTTTTCTAATTTGAAAAATTTTGATATGCATAAATATATATATAATGAATATTTTGATATAGGAAAAAATAATACAAAAAATAACTTAAATAAATATATTAATTCAAAAGAAGAAAAAGAGGACAATTCACTTTATACAACAAATCTAAATGGATATAAAGCTGGATATAAGGTTGACTATAATTTATTAAAGAAATTACAGAAATTGTGGCCAAATAATGAAAAATATTATACATCAAAGGAAGATTATTTAGTAAGATTTATGAAAATTTTGCATATATATATATATATTACATATTATTTTTAATAAATATATATTTATTAAGTTATTTATATTCTTTTTTAATTTTTTTTTTTCACAAAATTAAATAATTTTTTTACAGGAATTAATAAAAAATCTTAAAAATAAAGAAAAAGTATTTTTTTATGGTTGAATATTTAAAAATAAAATATATAAATTATATCTCAGATGGTATATACAAATATTAAAAAATTTTAAATATTTTTAATAATTTTTTTTTTTTTTACAATTTTTTACAATTATTTACAATTTTTATCAATTTTTTTTTTTTTGTTATATTATTTATTAATCCTTTTATACTATGCATTTTATATATATATATATGTATATATATATGATAATTTTGTTTTAAAATTGCCTTAAATTTTTTTTATTTTTTACATTAGTATATTTTTATAATTTTTTTTTCTATTAAAAATTTTGTATTGTATTATATAGCTATTTTTTTTTTTTTTTTTTTTTTTTTTTTTTATATTTCACTTTTATTTTTTTTTTAATATTTTATCACACTTTCATTAAAAAAAAAAAAAAAAAAAA